CTATTGAACACCCGTATTGAACAAACAGAATGTGATCTAAGAGGATCGGAGCTTCCTTAAATACTTCGATTTGAACAATTTCCGTTGCGTTTTTCACTGCTAAGGCTTTTATTACGATTCTCAACCCAAATCTGTCAAGCCTTTCGTTTTCATCAGAAATTACAATTTTCAATCAATTAGTTATGCTTTGCAGTCATTGACACCGTCTTCGAGCACTTCTTCTTCCTTCTTTTTGCCTTTCCGTTTTTTTGGACCAATGTTTCCCAAATGTTAACGTAAGGCCGCAAAGACTAATTTCGATTAGCCTAAACTGTCGGTCCGTTCAACTTTTGATAGCTCTAGTGTTGCCTAACCTGACTTAACGCTTTGTCCCACGTGCTTCATGTAGCGCATATTTTTTTCTGTTGAATTATCTATTGCACGCGTATGGAGAGCATATGGTGCCAAGCGTAGACGGAAGGTGGTGGATTACCTACTGTGAATTTCTCCACATCGTTGCGCTGTGTCAATAAGATACTAAAGAGACACCCTTAGCTCTTTTGTTGTTTTGCTACATGGGTACATACTGTAGCCGTTGTTAGCCGTTATAGCCACTGTCAGTCTTGTCGTTCTTGTCGTTAGTGGTGCACTCTGGTGTTACAGCGCAGAGCATTTCCAGTGATTATTGGGGAGTGGATAGATAAGAGGTATAAAAATGACATTTATACGGCCTTTATGCTGAACGTTTGTCATTTTGCTCATTACATTAGGCATTAAATAGTTACATAGCCTATCGCATGTGCAGACCCTATAACTCAATTTGCTCCCTTCGAACCATCCAACCATAGCCCACACACGTATGTAGTTGCTTTCGTAGTGTAGGGGTCACCCTGCAGCCTGAGTATCTGCATTCTTCTCTCCTCAGTGACGTGCTGAATGCACGTTGAGCGTGTTCTACCTTGGAAGTCCGCTTTATTGGCACTTGCAGCCAGACTTTCTCCAGGACTTTTGCAAATCTTCCGATTCGTCGACCGATGAGTCGGGGATGATGCAATACTCAGTAATAGCATTTCGATACAACTTCATTCAGCAATGAACGAATATCAACGCAACGACCATACTTCCGGCTAAAGCTACCAAAGCCAACTTTTGCATACAAGTTCAGGAATAAATGGTATATTTCAACTACTAGTTTTAGGGTCTACAACACTCGTTTGATCTAGAAAGCGACGAGATTCTAATGCACAGTTGTCTACCAATCAACCTCGGGACTACCACCCTCAAACACTCACGCACCAGGAACCAGCTGCAGAATGTCTTCCATAAGTCAACTGTGCGAGGAAAATGTGTGTTACAGCGGAAATACATCGAAACTGAGACGTTTAATGAAAAAGAATATGACTAAGGACTGTTGATAAATTAGAACCCTTCTCCTGCCTGCAATATGTTTGCACACATTTCGTCTTAAAACTAGCAAACTAGGCAGAATGGAAATGTATACTCTTTTTTTTCAGTGTTTCTAATCATTCGAAGATGAGAGTGACGTTTCCAGTGACCCTAAAGTATTCAACGAATTTCGCTGTGATGGACAAATGAAGCCAGCGAAAAGGCTAGCGGAAATCAGTAAAAACATCGGAAGGATGATATTATTCCATTCTTTGGATTGAATGGACCACATTCCGAATTTCAAGACGTTCAACAGGTTCCCTGTCGAATGAACCACATGTGATTTATATCGGTTTGTACTTTTATTCCATTTTACTGGATTTCACCGCACGAAGTTGTTTTGCTATTACTACATTTCACGCATAAGACATGACATGACATATTGTTCGCATCTAAACACTTGCCTCACGCTGTCTCGCAACCATCATTCACGAGGCTCCCCGGATTTCTGCTTGGTCTAAACTGTCAACTTAAAAATTTATCTTCTTGATGAATGTCGTTGAATGCTGGTAGAATTAATTTTCCCTGCAACCCTGGCACCGCTGTACTAAAGCAGCCGCAACCCTTCACCACGGAGACTGTCGCTAGCTCTGGTGGAACAAATGCAGCGTTGAGAATATGAGTAAAAGCTTACCTACAATTTTACAACCTCGTTGAATTCGAAGGCTCGGTAAGTGCAGTGCGGAGTCGAACCAGCGACCATGCCATGTGTCGCATCTCCGACTACTGTACTTCTCTCTCCCTTTGTTTTGCCATATTCTTTGCATTTAACAGTGGCACAGCTATCAACACAGTTTTTGGTACAAGGGGTGGTCTGTATAAAATTGTTTTCCGCACATACAAACCACGAAAAAAACTTCTTCGACAAGCTTTTTTCGCTAAAGTTTTGTTGCTGGTGAAGGCAGCCCACCATAAGTAACGTCGCAAATCAGAAAGGCACAGAGATGCCTCTGCTGTACTTCAGTACTTATGTTCGACACCTTGCGACACGTTTTCGTCAAGTTAGTAGGAAAGCGCGCATGTGGCGTATTGATTAGAGCTACCTTGCAATACGAAATAGACCAGTTCATGACTGAACTCTGCACCCCAGGCTCAACAAACCTTCCATCCCTCCGGAGTCGTTCAGTTATGCCAGACTTGTCTGGCAGGGTAGCAACACCGACCCGATAGATCGGTGGCCACCGCAGGTCGTTGTGCAGGTCAGATCAATCACCTCTACGATACTTGATGAAGGCGAATTCTGTGCATCCATCAGATATGGACCAACACCGAGAGCATTGTTGTTTACCCTTCAAAATAATAACCGTTTTGTACACAGGTAACTGCACTATAGCTGAATACTCGAGACCTCTGGAACTCTTGTCCGTGAAAGAGCTAGACGTTGATAAAGTGTGAAAATGTGAGCAACATACTCAAAGAATTCCATTTTACAATCTGTAATTCTTACAATTTTCACTAATTGCATATCAGGGCGCGTGTGGTGCAGTGGTTGGAGGTGCCGCTGCGACGAACACATAGAATCGATCCCTGCGCCCATGGCCCACCAAGCCTTCCATCTCTCCGGGGTCGGCAAATTGGTACCAGACTTGTCTAGGAGGAATTACATATCATCACAACCTCCGCAATACATGCGCACACTGTGCCCAAGTGATTAAGAATAGATATAATCTTCAATCCCTCTCAACGGTTCACCGCTTCATGGTGGCTGTGAGGTGTTCCCGCGTGTCGGCTTGCTATGTACAACCGGAAGTTTCATCTTCCCAGCATCGCCTCTAAGAACAAGCCAATACCAGGATCCACCCACCACCGTCCTGGTATCAAATTCGCATGGTGGCAAATCTCCCTCTGACCCACAAGAGCTGCGACCGCCTGTAGTTGTGACGACCTGGAGCAGACTTTGGCCTGGCTGATCTGGGGAACCCAGGGAACCGCAATGGCTAAACCAGCAAAACTCTAAAGAAGTGGAAATTAAGCTGGAACCCGCACAACCAGTGAACATGGGCCAGCCATTCAAGTAATGTATCCAGGTATAATCTAAAAGTGTTGTCCACAACGTGTGCAGTACTGCTGATCTGTTCGGCACGGACTGTTGCAAATCTGGAACGCTTTCTTTTTGCGAATTTCTCAGAGCTGCCAATAGAGCACTGTTGTTGCTTCGACACTACCAGTCTTTTGAAGAACAGCGCTCCCTCGGGTGTAGGAATGTAATAACTTAACTAAAAATCAAGTGTTCTATGCAGATCCTACGATAGAATAGCCACTCGTGAACAACAGGAGACCTGTGTATCGTTATTTCGGAAAATAAATGAATTACCAACACGATTCCGATTTTTGACAAGAGCACATGGACGTGGAAAATACTACAATTGTCCTCATATTAACCATGACTCGATCAGATCCGCATGAAGCACATGATGCCGAGCTAACCACAAAACACCCAAAAGTACTGCAAAGCCCTCCTAGAAACTAAGCGAAAGTGGGATTGTTCATCCATCAATGGTTTGCAATTCCTTCGGCCGCACACCCTACATGTCTCTAGCGAAATACACGGTGTGTGTAGTGTAATTGCGGCCACATTTCCATAGCGCCAGCTTCGGCTCCGTTAAGCAGTGGAGATCCAGACATACTCGGAAGGGTTCCACTTGTGTATCCAACACCAACAGTAATCCGGCATTAATCTCCTTTTAGCCACTTGTTTGTTTTTTGGAAGCTTTTGTCCCGAAGACCATCTTTTCGTCGAGGAATACTTTCCAATTAGTGGGTTCTTCTTTTGAAAATCGACTTGCATTTAATTTAGGTATGGTTATTCAGTTGCTTTTTTGTCATTGTTTTACTTCACTGCCAAACCAACATGGGTTCGTTGTACACTTTTTGTCCGGGTAAGTTTCATGTGATGAAGGCGAACGCGTCGGAACCTTGATGGATTCTCTTAATAATAACTCAAAATACCAACTTCCTATAAACCTCAGCATAAATAATCCATGTATCTGTTTATATATCTTTATGAACTGATCTTGTTGAGCCGATACCAGGTTGGTATAGTTCTCGTTGTTGTTGTCGTCGTTGGTCCATGGCTGACGTTTCGACGATTTCCCCTCCTCGTAGCCGTGCTGTTACGAATGGGACTGCCCCTTCTTAATATCACACCAAATTTTGTTACATTTGGATACAGTCCCAGCTACTGTTCTCTTCCAAAGATTCCTCTGCATGTACTGAGCACGAAATGGCTGCCCCACTCGTAACATCACGTCTCTGAGGAACGCAAAATCGCCGAAAGCTTATCCATCGACCAACAACAACAGCGAGAACTATATCAACCTTGCATCGACTCAACAAGACCGGTTCATAAAAGCCGATAAATAAATATGTCTTTTAATAAGGGCGTATGTGGCGCAGTGGTTGTAGGCGCAACTGCGACACACCCGTGGAATTGATCCCAGTGTTGGTCGGCAAATTGGTACCAGACTTGTCTGGGAGGATAGCAGCACTGGCTCGATACATCGGTAGGCCACCGCAAGTCATTGTAAAGGCCAAATATACACTCAATCACCTCTAACAATGCTTAGTGAAGTCGAATGCATGGTGCATCCCTCAGGGATTAACCAACGCCGGGAGCTTTATCCTTTATCCTTTATCTTTTAATAATAGTTATGTCGAATGAACAAGCAACGAGAACAATATGTAGCAACAGAGTACAAAACAGTCTCAGCTTTTTCAAGTTCGCTGCGAAAACGACCTCACGACGACGACGTCGAGTCAGCTTCAAATGGTCTCTCCCACGACTCGCAGCTTAACAGATGGCGCCTCTTGTTATCACTGTATTCTCCTTTTTACGTTTATATTGAGATCTTGAAGTATCCTGAGTTATCTCTTTGTAATTTCCTGACTTTCCATCGGGACAAAGGTTACATGCGAGTTATCGAAGCTCTCGTTTGTTCGTATTCTGGTAGTAGTAGCTCTATGTTTAGTCATCAGGTTTGTAACGTTCAGAGCTTCTTGTCGACGTCCTCCACCGTATTCGAGGTCAAATTGTCTCGCATCCTTTGAAACTAAGGACCATCTTTGTTGTTTCTTGAATCAACTCCATTCGTATGCTGCTGGTCTTGTTCTATGAAAACAAATCCGTTTATCATTCCGCATCTGTCGCATTTTATTGCTTCTTGCGTTTCGCGTAATCACGAATCCTTTCAGGGTTTTCTTTTTTGTTTAATATTTATCAAATATTGGTCTAGTACGGGTCAGCAGCTCATTTGGCTATTCTCAAAATGTCTTCGATGTCAATGGTCGGTAAGGGGTTTGTTAAGTCTCTTAAAGGCAGATATTACAATTATATTATCTAACAGTGTTTCAGGAGCTGCAATTCTGGTCGTACTTGGTGCTGGCTACATTGCCCGGCAGTACGGAATTCCACCTCCTCCACCGAAGATAGCTGGAATCGATTTAGGGACCACATTTTCATCCATAGGTTCTCAGCTGACGTTTTCTTTTTACCTTTCAAGACGTCTGCAATTGCTTGTCCACTTATTGTAGGCATTTATCACGCGGTCTCTGGAGAAACAACTATTTTGCCTGATGATATTGGAAAGAAGTCCGTCCCGAGTGTTGTGGCGTTTCTGTGGGTTTTAGCTGTAGTCATGTATCTTTCCTCCCAACGCTTTACCACCTTATCGTCGCTGGGAAGTGTTTCTGGGTGTCGGGTTGCGATGTACAGCGGGAGGATTCATTCCCTCGGCAGGGTTCCCCAAGCTGAGAATGAGCCCTGCGTTGGTATCAGGAAGCCCAGCTAATAGTAAACAAATGCCAGAATCCACTACCGTCCTGGTGTCAAACTAGTCGCTTGGCGGCAAATAGTGACGACCTGGGGCAGACTTTTGCCAGGTTGACCTCTTGACTGTAGGCAAACACAGTGACTAAACCAGCAAAACGCCCAAAAGTGGAGAATATGCTGGCGCCTGCCCAACTAGTGAAGACGGGCCGTCCAAATATCCAAGTATCCACGTAGCCTTGTTTTTCGCAAAAGGAGTACCTGTTGCTGTGATTGATTGATCCCAGGTTGTTTTGTGTTTCTCACTGTCGATAAGGTGTTGTCTTTTAGACCTAATGGTACAGTATTGGTGGGTACTCGGGCAGTAGAGCAACAGGAAAAGAATCCACAGCGAACTATTTATGATGCAAAGCGGTTCATCGGGCGAACGTTCGAGAGAGACAACGAAAACTTCTTGGTAAGTTTTATTTTCCTCGTTTTCTTGATGAGGCTTCCGTACTCCACTTTCATAGCTTTTGTCGCAAACTCCTTAATACTTTGCTCTGCTTTCTAAGCTAAATTGTCACTTCTTTTTCTTGAAGGCCGATCAAAAACGATATCCGTTCCTTATAAAGTTGGACGATGGGGGTCACGCTTTTTTTGAAGTTCCACTTGATTCTGGGATGAAGTAAGCAGTGTGCCATACTTTTATTCTGTTGCGACATAATTTTTGTATTACCGTACCGCCTGGTTTTTTTTCCTTCAGAAAACTCTATCCGCAAGAAGTTGGATCAATTATAGTTAATTATCTAAAGAATTCGGCTGAAAAACAACTAAAAACACCGCTGAACCAGGTACACTTAGGATGTGTCATGTTTATGAATTACGGATTGCTGTGTTGATTCTCTAGTGTAGGTGGTTATCTCCGTGCCGGCCGAGTTTAGTGAGAGCCAACGCAATGTAACTGGAAAGGCAGCCGAACTAGCCGGTGATTTTTAGATTACTTCCTGAGTTATTTTCTTATCTAGAACTGTGATTTGAGGTGTCTATCCACTAGTGATCTTTAAGTGTGCTTCTGGAAGTTTTTTGGTTTGTAATACTTAATTACTTGGACACTTGGGCAGCCTGTCCTCACTGGTTGTGCTGGCTCCAACATATACTCCATTGTTCGGAGTCGTCCCGAGGTCACCCTGGCCAAAGTCTACCCCAGGTCGTCACCACCACAGGCAGTCGCAGCCCTTGTGGATCAAAGGGGGATTTGCCACCAGTTCGATACCAGGACGGTGGTGGATCGTGGTATTGGTTTACTCTTAGCTAGGCTTCTTGATGGAAACGCCGGACTCCTTCTCAGCTTGGGAGACCCTGCTAGAGAATGAATCCCCTCACTGTACATCGCAGTCCGGCACCCAGGCACACCTCCCAGCCACGATGAGGCGGTAAATCGTTGGGAGGTTTGGTTCGTAATAAGAATGGAAAAGGACTACTCCGTGAATAGAATAGAATAATTTTGGTAGCTTCATCAGGGTCGTTCTTTCTTATTTCCTAAAGAAGCGATACTGAATTTCCAGGAATGGAAGTGCGTCGTGTGATCTCTGAGCCAACTGCTGCCGCTCTTGCTTACGGTTTGCATGAAAAGAAGGGCGTGGAAAACGTGGTTGTGATTGATCTTGGTAGGTTACCTGGAATGGTAACTGTCAGTACTGGCTAGAGATGCCGGATCAGAAGGAATCGAAAGGGACGTGCAATAAAAGCTGAAGATTTGTACTGTATTACAGCATGGTTTTGATAATACCGGTGGGCATTCAGGTGGTGGAACATTGGATGTGTCTGTTCTTTGGCTTCAAGGAGGAGTTTTTGTAACACAAGCTATGGCTGGAAATAACCGATTAGGAGGACAGGATTTCAATGACCGTGTTCAGAAGCATGTTTTATCTGTGAGTTGTTTAAATCTACTGCTTTTGACATTTCGTTATTTTCTTTCCTCCAACCCCACTTTTTCCTATCTCATCAATCGTGCTAAAATCAGCTTAAAAGGTAGGTCCTTAATTACTGCATAAAGGGAATTTCCAAAGTAGTGCAAAACACTTATTCTAGCTATTATTTTCCTAGCAGTTCTTTTCTACAGTTTTGTTTACCTGAATAGAAAAGGATAAAGCTCTCGAGGTTGATCAATCCCTGAGGTATGCGCGATACATTCGACTTCATTAAGCATCGTTAAAGTGGATTGAATGCATATTTGGCCTTTACAATGACTCGCGGCGGTAGCCTACCGATTATCGAGCGAGTGCTGCAATTCTTCCAGACAAGTCTGGTACCAATTTGCCGACCTCGGAGAGTTGGAAAGCTTAGTGGGCGGCGGACGTCCCACGTACGTGTTACAGGGCGCCTCCTGCCAGTGTACAACACGCGCCCCTTTGTTTATGTGAGCAGTGAGAAAAATATCCTTTCACGGAGCTTCTGCCGTTTTTATCAGGGTGTTTTAAAAATAAGTAGAAGAATAGTGTTAAACATTTGTTTTTGGGTATCTTACTTCATCCAGCATACTACTACTCTCAGTTTACCTTCGGACACCAGCTCGACCTGAACATCTATTCGGCACATTTTGGCAATAACGCCTTTTTAACAAAAGGAAAAAGCATCGATAACGGTTATCAAGTTTCTCCTTGTTCTGAGACTTGAGACAATCGGCTCCATTTGGTTGCTCGTTTTCTTGTAGGAGAGTGAAAGATTACCAGTCTGAAACTTGAGAATCTAGGTTTTGCGACAGAGATTTGGAGAAGTCATCAGCGACAAGGAGGATTTACAACAGATCCGCCTTGAGATCGAAAATGCAAAAATTAGATTGACATTTCATCACAAGGTTTTGATGAAATTTCGTCTGAAAGGTATTGGAGATTGGCAGATGGAGGTATGAAACTGTTACTGGCTTTCATTTTATCAATATTACGTTTATTTGAATTTTCGTACTCCAGTTTGGATCGATCACAAACGAATTTTATCCTTTCGATGTGGAACTACCTGGGCACTCAAACTTTCCATCTTTGTTTGCTACTATTTTTTTACTAAATTTGTTTACTTGTCTATTTTTATGCTATTCATGTAGTACTGTTGACCTTTTCAAGTTGATTGGCAAATTGTGTTCGATTACAATGATGCCGAGATATTTGCAAAACTCGCATCTCAGGACAGCTTCGAATCGGCGATTTCCTTCTCTCGTCAATTTTTTTCCATAACGGGCCGTTAGTAATCAATCACCTGTAAATGGGGATGTTCTCAGGAGCACAAATCGGTATTAAACCCAGCTAAACTGAAGATGCAGTTGAAATCAAAGTGCCTGACTTTTTACTTACTACCTATTATTATTTTTCTTTGTGATAGAGTATCGTGTGCAATCACGTGACCCCCGAGAAGGGTAATAGTGGATTCGAAGCTGGTGTAGGGTCCAAATTTTGCAGATATCTTAGCATCTTAGTGGTTGTGTTCCATACCACATACTCTGTTGTGAAAAAAAAAACAATGGGCAGTAAATAAAATGTTGAACATTGTCATCGATCACATTAATGGAAAAAAGCAGACATTTTTCACGTGGGACATTTGTAGCTTCGAATGTTTTCACCGTGAATCTAAAGTTATACATAGTTTTTCCACTATTAACGGGAAATGTTAAGAAATTAATGAAGCAAATTGAAGTAAGCTATTGTTGATTAAACATTATTTAACACCAGCATAATATTTTTAGTTACTTCGTGATGAATTTGAAGAGTTAAATGCCGATCTTTTTAAATCAATTGAGCAACCTATCGAGGCCGCCTTAGCTGATGCACAACTTGAGCCGTCAGAAGTTGATGAAATAGTTCTCGTTGGTGGATCCACACGTATACCAAAGGTGCGTCAGATCGTCGGCCACTATTTCGGGTAAATTTATTGCTAATCTTGGTGTGTCGTTTCTTTTGCATAGTCATTTTTGTGTCCTCAGGTGGTTGTATGTTGCAAATATTTTTAGCAAGCCTCCGAATTTTGGTGTTGATCCGGAGCTTGCCGTTGTCACTGGAGCAGCAGTGCAAGCTGGTGTAATCGGAGGAGGATGGCCTTTACAAGTAAGTGTTGGAACGATTTCTAGGGGGCCAGATCAATAATAACCAGTGTTCTCAGGATTTTCGAAGTATTGGTGACCATTAGTTTTCGTTTTGTTTAGATCTTTTATAAATATTTTGTGCTGTATGTTTGCATTTTAATCTTCAGCCTGGTAAACACGACGGTGTTACCCGTTTTGGTTCACAGAATTGCAAGATTTAGGAATTCAACTATGAGTCGACTGATCGTTAAAACTAGCTGAGAGACAGGCGAAACGAAGGACCCGTATGATGTGGTGGTGAACGCGTTATCTCCCGGAAAGGATAACAGCGCGTTCGTTCTCCACCGCAGACACCTGCGGTCCGGAGTTTTGCAAATATCTCAGCATCGTCGAAGTTTTGAATGGACTATCCTAGATTGTTATAAACTGCATTTATCTGATTAAAAAAGTGCTAGAATATGACTTTCTTCGTCCATAAAATAGGCGTATTTCCTCAGGTTGGGTAGAGTTATTTTCTCGGGATGACGTGCAAGGATTCTGCGCATCATGAATTGTTTTTTTTTCTTTTTTTCGTTGGTTTGGTCTCAGATAGCGAGGTGATTGACTAAGTATGATGACGCAGCATAGCATAACAAACGCACATCATAGTAAGGCTAAAAGAACTCCTGGCGTTGATCAGTCCCTGAGAGATGCACGGTGCATTCGACTTCATTAAGCATCGTTTGAGGTGAGTAAATGCATGTCTGGCATTTACAATGACTCGCGGTGTCCTAACTATGTATCGATCCAGTGCTACTATCCTCACAGAAGAGCCTGGTACCAGTTTGTTAGCCCCGGGGCGATGGAAGGCTTGGTGAGCCTGGGGGCGGGTATCGGTCCTATATGTATTGCAGGAAATGGTGTTTTATTGAATTGGACGCCTTGTAGTGAAAATAACGTTTGAATTCTGTTCAATAGGTTTATTAAGTCCCTAACCGCTCAAGTACTCCAGATATCTGAAAATTGTCGGCATTCAACGAAAGTGCTCGTTTTGATTTTATCAACTCAATTCTAAAATTTTGCACTGTTATTCCTCCCATTCAGTATTATTTAGAGACCAGCATTCGAAGAATTAGCTGCTCACTATCATTCTGTTGTTCAGGTTGCAGCGATGGAACTCCCAAGTAAAAGACGAAAGCGCCATTTCTATACAGAGCAGCAAAAAGTAGACGAAAAAGAAATGAGCGTATGATGTGAATATCGAAAGGATCTCTCAATGTATTAGCCTTAATTCTTGAATTATTAGGTCGTTATCGCGTTGTGATTGTTCTGTTGGTTTTGAACCATGCATGTTCGGTGTTCTTCATTCCAGTTCTTTCAAATGTCAAGCTGATTTTCAGGTTTATATCATATTCTATGTTAGATTAGACTACCAGATCGATATCATTTAATGTCTGGGTATTTCGGGAGAATAATTTATTGTTGTTTCTTTGGATTTTCAACAGATGGGTATGTATAACAGTATCATTCCCGTGTCCAGTTGGCTTAGCTAGGTCACATTTTCAGCTTTGCTTCTGTCTGTGATAGTTATCCTGCACGACTCTGTCCATTTCAGACTATTGTATAGTGGATGAGTATTAATATCTCGGTAGTTGGTTAAACTGTGATTCTAACTTGTTTCCTGTTGAAAACTCCCTGGGGATCCCTAGTAGAGTCTGATTGATGACAATTTTCATTGTTACTTTTATACCTTTTTATTGTGGTAGACAATGCGATTGTAGCATGTATTGGGAAATGAACACCGATAAATAGGAGATTGTTAGCATTGATGGTTAATAAATAATGTTTGCGTACCATGGAGGTATGGGAAGTTGCGTTCTCTACGAAGTGAAGTTGTCTTAGTCGTATTTGTGTTGTAATGAGAATCTCATCGTTCCTGTCACGGTAACGGAGTGCTTTTGGTCATAAGAAGGTAGTGTGATCATCCATTAAGTTTTCACGTGAGTTGTTTAGAAATGTGTGACTATTGCGGAGGAGTCCGCATAATTTCACATGGGTTACGGTAGTGGTAAATCTCATTTCAGGTTTTGCTTAAATGTTTGTATGGTCGGTATCTCTTCGAATGTTTTCGTTACATGCCAAGCATAAGTATAGGTGTTCCAGTTCATGTGCACACTTGGCTCCAAGTTGACGATAAATCGTTTTTCCGGTGTCAAAGAGGCAACAATTTTTGTCCGTGAGAACATGTTCGATCTTCGCGTGAGCCGTGTACGAGACTTCCATGTCCATCGGCGATAGTCTCTCTTCTCGAAAATGAACTCCTATGGGAGAGACATGATACGGAGAAGTATCCTGCAAGTCAGTTCCCATTCTTATTTTGTTCCCTTTTTTTTCGAATGCCTCTATCCTGTACTCATTTTCAATGGATGTTCCTAATCTGGCATTAGTGTCTTCAACAACGAATTTATAGAAAGGCTTCTAGTTGCGGATCACTTTCTCCAGCTGGTTGTAGAACGCGTTTAGTTCGCTCTCATCAGTGATAAAAGCTGGGGAGAAACAGTCGATGATAGTGACTTCCTTTTATGAGGAAGTTGGAGACGAAGAATGGAATGGCCAGACGCAGTGATGTGATTTCACATGAGGTGACTGAATAGGGAAATGGATGACAAATGGATGATGAGGGTATGACAAAATCAACGCCTTTGATACTTCGTAAGGGAAATTTATATCGGATTTCCTGTTTTTTGCGTCTTGCAAGGTGTACAAATAGAATCTGATGCGTTCGGCAGCCTCAGAAAGAGCGTGAAGATGGGCATCTTACGAGAATGTTCTGGCGTTATAGGTGTACAGCAAGGAGCAATCTCTATAGCGTGTCGTGGACGTGCTCGTTTGGTTCGTTTGCAATGACGTCCTGTTGAACCCGACGTTTGATCGCCTCTCACCGATTGTCTCACCACCCATAGTCGTAGACGGCAACGCCTCGTATGCAAGGTACTGAGGAAGAAATTTTGCCGGCTTGCACTGTGGTACCATGGAGCCCTTCTTACAATCTCTCCAGTCACAAGATTAAGGTAGTTTCAAAGAAATAACTTTTACATATATGTATATATAGAAATAACTTTTACATATTATATATATATATATATATGAAGTAAAAGGGCACGTGTGGCGCAGTGGTCGGAAGCGCCCTGCAACACACACGTGGACTCGATCCTCGCGCCCATGGCCTACTAAGCTTTCCATCTCTTCGGGGTCGGCAGATTGGTACGAGACTTGTCAGGGATCATAGCAGCACTGGCTCGATACATTGGTAGGCCCCCGCGAATTGTCGTAGAGGCGAGATACGCATTCAATCACCTCCAGTCCATGCTTAATGAATTCGAATGCATGACGCATCCCTCAGCGAATGATCGAGGCCGAGAGCTTTTTTAAAGGTTTATATATGTATGAAGTGGCCGAGAAAAATTCAAAACTAGGCCCTCTTTAGTAGTTCCTAGTGATAATTAGGTCTTCGAGTCAGTTCTCGGAACCTTATGATTACTGGCTTTGAGTAGGATGCTCGACTTCGTAGAAGTTGTCACGCGGGACTTCTTCGTAATTGTCGCAGAGCAATATCTCAAACCTCAAACTTGAGTAATCAAACCGTTTATAACAATAATAATTCAATAATAACAAAATATAAACATTGGTACTATACAGACTGCAATATAGTATCATCATCAATGAGTGAAGATAAGGCGGGTTAGTATCTTTGCTATAGGCCAGTGAAACAGTGCCATGTGCATTTAAAATAAATCAATAGTGCCACAAGATTTACTCACATTAAGGGATTTATATAAGGCCGTGACACCTGACTTACATACAACAATACTATAGGGTTACACACTGTATCTAGGCTTGTGATATCGTTCTGATGAGGCTAACACGTTAAGGGCTACATGTAAGCTTGTGATAACATTGCGATGAGGTTATATGTTAACTTGTAAGTACATTGCGATTTGGTTAACGTATTAAAGAATACATATAAGCGTATGAGTATACTGCTATGAAATTGATGTGAACACACAATAGAGTTAGCGTGTTTAGAGGTACATGACAGCAAAGTTAAAATACAACACTGACCACATACAATAAGAGAGAACACCTTGGATTAACTACATGGCGCATCACACATGATGAAGAGGGGTGCGAATACGATTTTGACTCACGGGGCTGTTTAAATGTCTTCTGGAGGAGGCGGTGCTTTGGCACAGGTCCAGAACTTTTACCGAAAACATTCGTCGACTTCCACATCCAGCTCTCTAGTGATCAGATCAGACGACTGAGGACGATTTCCCAGACAACTTCATGCCCCTTGTGTTATCGTACTTGTGATAGTTTGGAACAGGAACAACACACAAAAGTTCCGATTGCATAAAAAGAGTGTGGATAACAAATGATGTTTACGACAACCAAAGTTTTTCTCAATGAAGTGAAAACGTTTACATGCTGCAAGATCGCAAAGACCACGAATATGGTTACCACAGACCTACGATATGATGAACGAATAGTAACTATTCTGGCAATAACTTTCTACTTCTGTTCAGCAAACACGAGCATTCAAGCTGACATTTCGGCGGATTTCGCCTTCCTCAGAGGCGGGAAGGGTCAAGTTGACAGCAATCCACTCGGCCAAACACCTCCATAACCAAACAGAAAACGCTAAACCAAGATTTCAATCACTTTTAGCATAGCTCTGCACAGTCACCGCTTTTTATGAGTCTTTCAGTCTTCCACTGAGTATGTCGTGTGAAGACCGACCGCACAGAATTCACATGGACGCGTAATGTGCCTCTCCCATCAGAATAACAGGTTTATGTACTGTCCAATATCACGCGTGATAACGAGGCATTCCTCCCTGCGGTTCATTTTCGGATTCTCGGAATTAATCTAGAATGCCTCTAGAGTTTTGCGCGCTTGTGTTCTCGATTCTTGCGCGAGGATCGTAACCCTTACTTCAAAATCTTCTCCGTTATGTTTCTGCGTGCTATGCGTACCTAGTGGAGCGCTTAGCTTACGTTTGCCGACTAGGTGTTCTTTTATACGTACGCAGAGTGGTCTACCCGTTTCGCCAACGTATTCGTCCCCGCACGCTTTAGAAGAGATCAGATAGACTGTTTCCGAACTCATGCAGTCACCGTCTCTACCGTAGAGGCAAATTGTGCAACTTTGCGTTGCACATAGACGGTCGTATAGGCGGTTACGGGCTAACTGGCGCCTTAGATTATTCGGTGGTATTTCGATTATCGTTACCGAATTCTCTAGACTGGCCCTTCTTAAACAGCGTTTTATAGTTGCACTTACTTCATTTGAAATGAAGGGCAGTATAAACGGGACCTTGTTGTCGCTAGAGTTATCGTCGGGGTACCTGTGGTTTCCTCTACACCTATCTCGAGCTACGGTTTCGTAGCCATTAAAAATGACTATTTGCAGCGCCAAGTTCCGGGATTCCTCTCTCTGTTGTCTTCCTGTGCAGTTAGATAGATGTTTCTCACAAGCGCCCTTTTCGTGTGAGAGGGATGAGAGGAGAGGTAATGAACTAGGATGTTTTTACTACTTGGCTTTCGATACCACTTCGTAATGTAGCCGTTTTCTGATAGACTAATTTGCACGTTCAGGAATGGAAACCAGTCTTCTTTTGGTTTCTCTCGGGTGAATTTAATATACTCTGACTGTGTGTTCAACAACTCGAAACATCTGTCGATTTCTTCTTGCGTTGAACAACGACCAAGCAGTCATCTATATATCTACAGTAGAGTAACGGACCGAGGTCGATTACTGGCGCTTCCACCTTAGACATGAATGCAATGGTAAGGCTTGGTGCCAGTCGTTGTCCCATTGCCAGCCCTCTCATTTGTGCGTAATACCTCCCGGACCATCTGAAGAGTTT